TACATATCAATTTTTCGTTTAGTAATAGCAAATTGGGAAAAGATCAATATATCTCTTAGTTAGAGAATAGTGTTATGCTCAGAATTTCGACATGTTTGAGTGTGTTTTATTGAAAGAAATGAAGTAATCCGTATACCAGTTTATATTGGCTTTGTGAAGAAATTTCGCTTCATTTAATCAGTCAAACAGTAATTATAACAATCACTTAACAAGGGCTGCAGAACAAGGGATAGTGGCTAGCAACGCTGACTGCCGTATCGAAGGGCCTAGGTTTGAAGGCATGGATGTTTGCAAATGATAGTATCTGTGCGGCATGGGGCACTAAATATGCGACAAGCGGAAATTTTTCTCGAGAGGCTGATGGTCTGGGAAGAGGTATCGAAGACCTACGAACCAATTCTCTCGGGGTGATCTCCATCAAAACTGGGGGCGAAACTGGGCGAAGGCGTACTGTTACCTGTATGACACAGGTGACAGTACTGAATTCTTGAGGCTTGTGCTGACGTTCCTGTCAGAAATGTAAGATAAGACACTGTAATAACTTCACAAGGAAATGCCCCATTTTAATAAGATAATTCTTACATAACCTTCATACTGTATTCTGTTTCTTTATCATAAAATACAGACGTGAGCTTAACGTGATTTCTTTCCTAACAAAATTATAATTTCGAACTCAGAAGTGCAGAATTTTAGACAGACGACTTTTCCTTATTCCCAAAATTAAAACATTAGTGAAGCTTATAAGGTATTCTCTCCCTCGTTTCTGCATTACTTGGTGGTGTAACGTTAGCACACTGGGCGCGTATCTGAGAGGTCTAGGTTCGAGTCGCGGCAATGGCATTGCTCATTTTTCATGTCTTTTAGTTCAGAAAAACTATTCAACAGAACTGGAAATGAAAGATTATTTATTATTTCTCTTTCTAAGGTCTTCTTGTTTAAGGCAAGAAGGTTCTTTATGTATTCTATAGCCTCTGATTGCTACGTCCGGTTTTTTTTCGCTTTGATCTAAATTCTTTCAGTAATTTCAAATTAAGAATCTGAAATAATTTTCTCTATGAATCTCTAATCTTCTCTTAAATATAGTTGGTATAGAAATTCATGTTTTTGGTTCCAGTGGAAAACAATTACATTTACTGCGTGTTACATTTAATTCATATGATCAGCAAATGAAAAAAGTAAAATGGAAGTTCTATTCAAAACATCTACGAACTTGTTTCGTTTAAAATACCGTGCGCATCTCACGCTTTTGTTCTACTTACATGACTTTCCGTAACACTAGTAGTAAAATTCTGTAACCTTTACAATTATATTCTTTATAATTTTACATTAGAAAAGTATGCTTATTTGCGTAATTACTTGTTGTAGAATTGCAAATAAATTAAATGTACTTTTTTCAGGTTATATATCTTTTTTGCTTTTAACTTCAAGGATTAACGTTATATTTAAGAGTGCGCCTGGTATTGTTATTCATTTCTACTATGGCATCTCATTTTTATAAGTTTCTTAAATAAACTTAAAAAATTTACTTTAAAATTGAATTTTCATAAACTTCTTATTTTTTTTACTACAGACGTTCATTATTTTAAAACGTTTAACATCTATGATTTTATGTTGTAAAGTTTTGAAATGTTCACAGATCACAGAGCAAAATCTTCGCCCTCTTTTAAAAACAAGAATGATTAAAAATATCAATTACGCGATTTTCTACTATAAACATTTATGCTGCAGTATGTCTCGTAGAATGGTGTAGTAAAAAGAAATTTCGATTCTTCCTTAGGCGTGAAGTAATTAGCTTTGAAACAGTTTCAACAGTAAAGTTATAATATCATTCATAAAAGGTCACACAATTTCCTTACTTCTGTAGATGTTTCTTTGATACTGGTATTGTTTCTTTATTTATAAAGCTCCCTTGTCTTGCTAGAAATAATTGGAAAAGAAATTAAGCTTACTATAATATGAATAATTTTTCCTCCTGTTTTTGAAGATAGATTTTCCACTTGCTGTACATTTCATTGAACTAGTCTCAAAAACAGTAGAGTTTAAGTCATGATTAGCGTTTAAAATTATTTTCAATGAATTCTGCTCTACTATTTTCAGCTTTTTATCATTTGAAAGTTTATATATATATATTTTTTTTTCAAAAGTTCATTTTAAAAGGTGATTTTTTTTAAAATTTTACTGTAAAAAATAATATTTTATTCTTTTATGTGACTTTAAAGTCCTAACATTCAAAATTGTAACCTTTATAAATATTTGAAATTTTTACAGGTTATAAAACAAATTCTTCAAGCTCTTTACAAACACGAATGATAAAAAATGTTAATTAAATGACATTCTAGAATTTTTAGAGTTATACTTTATATAGTATTGCTATTTTAGGCCTATAACGGTAATAGAAGTGAAGCGAGTTATCGGTATGTTTGAGGTAATGCGACGAAGTCTTAGGAAGGTTATAAAACAAAATAACATAAATAACTTCACAACTTTTTATTTAAACAGAACTATGAACATAAAGGCACAAATTTGTGTTACAAATTGCCATAGCTTGTAGAAAGGCAAATTAAAACAAGAGCAGTCAATTCAAATTCAATGTTGAAAAATAGTCGAAGACTACACCATTAAATACTAAGCTAGAAGTTGGCTCAATAATTTTCCGGCGTGTCAGCTAGAAACTCAGTAATTTATAGGTTTAAAGCATCGGCGGCCAGAAACCGCAAAACCTAAATAACTGTAATTGCTACAGGTGGCAGAAACTAACCACGTGCGGCCAATGCCGGAGACACTTTCTCTCTCAAGATTCAAAAACCTCAGCTTCAATACACACGCAACTAATTTGCATTTTGGTAAGAAATATCGAAAGGGGGAAGTTAGAACATAATAACTGATTCATTAATGTATGATACTCTACAATTTTTTAAGCATATTGATGTGCACCTAGTTATCAGACTAGCTAATTTATCAGATAGAATGCAAGACATATGTGATAATTTATCTAAGAAAAAGATTATTTCCATAAAAATAAGCGTGTGCTGTCAGATCAGAAGTAGCGGGAAGAATTTAAAACTCTGGAACTGAGTAATACAAAGCTGAATAAAAGAAGAAGAAAAAATATAATATAAATGAATTAATGGAAACCAATAATATATGAATCTAACAGCAAATACATGAGCTTTTTTATCTTGCTTTACACGAGCTTTAAAATATACGTAAGTATAGCATACAAAAATGTTAATGTAAATTTAGAAATAATATATTTTATCATAACGTTGTAAAAAATAACAGAATTATCGGAACAAAAAAACTAATTAAACAGAATAATCGGAATCCAAAGCCTAATTAAACATTGTTTTAAAATGATTAAACAATAGAAATATTTATTGATTGATCAAAATTTGTAATGATGGATTTTGATAGAAATTTTTGAATCAAAAATTGAAACTAAAAAGAAAACGAGATTGAAACTAAAAAGGAAAAGATTTTTTATAAAATAACCTTTTATTTAAAACTCAGAAAATAATGAATGAACTAAAAGGAGAAAATGAATTTATCATACAGTTAAATGTAAAGAAGAGAGTAAACAATCCTCTTTACAGATTTATCTACAATTTTATATCATGAATAATAAAGCGACGACGCTCAAGTAACAAAATATAGGAACCGCATTGCATTGTCAAAATTATAAGCTATTATCTTTATAAATTCATCAAAGGCAGCAAAGCTTCTATGATTAGTGATATAAAATTGTAGAGCAGTTTTATAAAGAAAATTATTTAATCACCTATTAGTGTACTACCAGCATTAGTTAACCTTATTAATATGAGGAATTCATAATCTTATTCATATGAGGTATATCAGGCATTCATCTTATTCATATAAGTTTATTGATGTGAGGGTGGACCACTTTTGCCTCAAACATGATGAATGAATGGGGAATTAAAAATAAATTTATTCTTAGAGAATGATAACAGCGTAAAATAAAAATCCAACTGATAAGTTTAGACATTTCTTAAGATTTTTTCCCTAAACATTTATCTGTAGAGGTTTCTCCTTTTTTTGCGTCAAGCGAAGTCATTTGGTGATGTAGTTTAGAACTCTAAAATAGAGTTAGGAAATTACAGTTTATCATTTTATTTCTTGTTTAATAATCTTCATAATTAAATTTTAATTCACAAAACAATGAATAAAACTACGCCAGTAAATAACAAAATGAGCTTCTCCTATTTTATGAATCACTAAAATTGTATTACTTCCTTTAGAACCAAATTAAAATAAAATTAATTCAAATTTTTTTAAGGTAAATATTTTTGAAAAGACAACATTATCACTAAATTCTGGAATTTCTAAAATGAGATAAAATCTAAAAAGGTTTTCCTTATCTCGATTAATTCAGAGTGCCGTCGAAAAAGATTAATTGAACTTTAAGAAAAAAGAGGCAGTCTTTAAAATTCTGGTAGTTCTTGAAGGAAAAATTATTTTAAAAAATTATTATTACGATAATATAATCAGTTCAATCCTGATACGATGTGCCGTTTTTACTCAGCAGATTTTTTCAGCTATTTTGAATGAAACTAAAATGATTTTGATTCTAAACTAGATCGGTCTTGCAATCATTGGTTCATTGTCAATGAGATTGAAGACAAGAAAATTAGTACATAAGTTTTCGAATAATGCTTTCTTCTCCCTTTTAGGTCGTTTCCTGGACTTTTATTTATTTTCCTGCTGATTCTGGTTTTCTAATGATATTTTGAATTTTCATAATTTTCGCTACCTATTCGTTTTTATATAAACTGCCACTTCATTGAGAAAGGTCAATTATTTGAAATAGCTAAGATATTTCGAAACGCATTTTGCTTATTTTATATTTGATGTTAAAAATAAATTATTATCCTTCGAATTGAATCTTGAAAGTATATCTTGAAATCATAATAATTTGTGTGCGTATAGTTTATATGGAAAAAGATGCTATTCGAAACAAACTATATTTTTTACTTTATATTTAGATGACGTTCCAGAATTCCAAGAAACATTTCAAGAGCAGACAGTGCAACCAGGTCCATCTCTCTCCTTGAAATGCGTCGCGTCAGGCAATCCTTTGCCACAAATCGTTTGGAAGTTGGATGGGGCACCCATTCCGGAGAACCATCGAATACGCTTTGGGGACTACGTGACTAAAGATGGGTTCGTTGTGAGTTTTGTGAACGTGAGCAATGTGAAAACCGAAGATGGAGGAGACTATCGCTGCATAGCTAACAATGGAATTGGTGAAGTCAGTCATGAAGCTCGTGTAAACGTGATGGGGCCTCCTGTTGTAGTTCGACGAGCCAGAAACGTGACGGTTGTCGCAGGAGATGTGCTTGTTCTTAGATGTCCTGTCGCTGGATATCCACTAGACAATATACATTGGGAGAGAGGTGAGCGCACATTTGTTTGATATTTTGTCAGTTATATGCCTTTACGCACTTTTAACAGAGATTATTCTTATATACTCAATTATTTATTATACAAAAATATACTTTAAGCAGACCATAGATGTATATTTATGGAAAATGAAATGTATGATCAATTATAAAAGTTAGGAAGTCATTATGTATATGATAATGAAAAGATGTATAAAAAGTCTTCAAAAAATGCAATTACAAACCATATTGTCTTAAATATTGATCCAAGACATGTACCTCTGGATGTTAAATTTCTCAAAATAAGATATTGAACTTTATAAAAATGGTTTCACTATTGGAGTCAGAACCCTTTATATAAAAGTTTAAAAAAATTAACTTTAGAAATAGTGATTTAGCGCAAAATACCTAATTAATAATTGCATTATACTTCAGTAAATTAGGCAATGAAGTGCGTTATATCTCCATATAACGCAAGTTCTTTGTTTGGATAATAACTATTTTTGCGAATTATGACTATTACTCACATAAGAAAAGGAATATCTCTAAAAAAATGCAATTATTAATCTGTAATATCCGATATCTCACATCTGAAAAATATTTAATCGAAATTTTATAGTTATATGTAACATATGTAATATATTCTTTTATGGGGATCTTACGAAAAGCTAATTTTCGTGTCGACAAAATCCATCAAACTTAGGTTTGGAACTGTTTTTACGAAACTTTGCACATTTCTTCAATATTATTATACATCTGAGAACTGCTTTTAACTATAATGTCTTTTATAAATTAACGTATTAGTTGGCATCAATAATCAGTTGCTGCAACGTCTTAAAAAGGAAATCTTAACAATTTCAACAGACATATGGAATTTTACTTGAGGCTAGCTAAAACTCAGGCTAATTGCATGATATTGCATCATGTGTCACACATGTTTAATGTTTTAGAATTACAAATACTTGTTTGAATATATTACTGCTAAAAACCATAGTATAGATCTATAGATCTACTCTGTTTAGACTTCGCAAAGTATTTATAATCAACAGGTGAATGACCAAAATAACAATGCAAAATCTGAAAATTCTTTTATTAATTGTACGACATATAATTCCTACTTTCATATGAGGGTCTGATGATGAGAATTTTATACCCATTAAGTACTTCTGTTGAAATGTGATATATAAGCTACACGCAAAACAGTGGCACAATAACACACAAATCTTAAGGCATCCCGCCTTAAACAATAAACTCACTTTATTTACAATTATCATAGAGCCATAGAGTGCCATCATGTAGACAGAGATTTTTTTCAAATTTCATAAAATTTAACGTAGGAGGATCCTACATTTGAAATCATTCCACGTTTATACGAGTCATAATACTTGTGCTTAAGCATACATGACAGTCAAATATGTTAACAACATAAAGAAAAAAATGAAGAAAATACCCAATGAATTCTACCATAACCTTCCCACACAGTAGGCATACATTACATGCAAAAACCTCCATTTAATTTGTGCCAGAACATTCGTTCAATGATCCCTTATTTATTACCTATGTGTCATCCGTGATAATCAAGTTATCTACTCTAAACGTATCAAACGCGATGCGCAACAAATGCAACTTCTGTATGTTTTGTAAAGTCATAGATTCGACATTGAAATAAAACACATCGACCTTATATGAACTACTGTACTAGGGTCTGCTGTATTAAGATACTGCTAGAACAGATATTGTTTAAGAGTATATGCTTTAAAACTGGAGATTATTCAAAATAATACTCCACGACTTTTGAGTAGTTGTTAAAATTAAATTATTATTTGGCGTTAATTTAAAACTGGTAAACGTTGAAAAAATAAGCGATTGAACTCTTCCCCCTCAAGAGAATTTTTTTTTTTAATTCCTGAAGAATTGCCTTAATATGATTAGCTTACAGTATTCTTTCAATTCGAAAGTAATAAACAATTTACGATCTTTTTTTAAATCATTTAAAATACCTAATATAATATCCAATTAAGTCCTTATGTAGCACTTTAACTTCTAATTAAAGATTTTCACTACTACAGGAGCAGGATCTGATGATGAGAAGAAGATTATACGCTTTTGATTCAAAAGGTTTACAACGTTATATGCGGCGACTTGAGTATACTAGAATGATACTAGAATACCTTAAATAAAGCAAGATAAGAGAAACGTTTCAATGAAGAGCCTGAGAGAGCTCTATATTTAATGTACTTAGAATAAAAAAGCTTGTTGTTCTAGAGCCTGCACATAAAGAGTAAAACATAAAATAATTGGAAGGCTACAATTATGCAGAGATTTTATTTAAAACATAAGTGTTTACGAAACAAATAGGAATTAAAAAGGAATGACAATTTGCAAACTTACTTGGTATCTAAGAGCTGGATGTTTGTGCATGATTAAATTTATGGTATGAATCGCAAATTTTCTCGATATTTCAATATCGCTTCTCCAAATCTCCCGGAAGTTTCAAATCTCAAATTTCTCTATATAAAATTAACATTGTTAAGAGAACCTAATTTAAATGAAAAAGTGTTTCATTTAAATTTTACATAATGACCAAAATACATAATGACTTCCTAACTTTTTAACTATAAATACATGATGACTTCCTAACTTTTATTATAAAACCTAATTTAAATGAAAAAATGTAAGTTTTTGTTAACGTAAAATTTGATTCTGGCATTTACTGAAATAAAAATTTAAGAATACTGTTTTTAAATCTGCACTGTATTAAAAAACACAGATGAAATTTAGTAAACGAAATAAATACAAGTAATTAAACTTCTTGAACACTGAGTTTATTTTTACATTATGATTTTACCAAAATATATAAATATCATGTCAAAATCCTTCTCCTCCCCCAAGAATGTTCAAAAATTAAAGCAAGTGAAGGAGAGAGATGATTTTTTCCAAGCCTTACGCGGATAAGCAAACACATAAAATGCTTAATTCTTTCTAAAAGATTTAAAGTGTCGTATTCTGGGTTACCGTGAAATGATATTGATGTCTCAAGTTCAATAAAATTCAGTCTCATTTTTAATGAATGCTTCTAATGAATTTCAATAAAACTATCCATCCAAAATTTTAAATTAAAATATTTAACAGAGTTTTTAGTTAGGATGTGAAAGATCAGAAAGAAGATTAGAAAGATGTGAAAATTTCAGTTTTTAGATCCCGAATGCTTTTCAAGATTTGTGAGAGTTGAAGTTTCGAATACCCTGTCAGTAATTAAATATTTTCACCGTGCATTCGAACTGTTATGTAAGGTTACTTCTTGAGTTATTTTTTCAAACTTATTGGGTGATATTATTTATTACGAGCTCCGTCCTTAGGTACTATGCAGAAAAGGCGGGATACCTGGAGCAGGAACTTTTAAGGGAAATGGCTCGTGTCCACGTTACATATGTGTAGAAACAAGAAAACGTTCATACAACCAAGCCCGTCCGCCGGCACTCGAACCCCGGACCGAACTATTAAGTGTTCAGTCTAATTTGGTGAAATAAGGATAAATGAAACTGGAACATCAAAGAGTTTTGCGGATCATTTTATATCCTTGAAAAGGACTATTTTATTCAGCCGGTTTGCATTTGCAAGAAAATTTAATGCAACATTTTTTTTTTTTTTTTTTTTTTTTTTTTTTTGGTATATAGGTTAACATAAAATTATATTTGGCAGAATAAATGCTTTATCACTTTTTCATTCCAGCGTATTGTTATTTCCTTAAAACATTTCAACTTTAAAAAAATCATTTACGTAAAACCAGCCTTTCATTGATCTTACTCTGCTTTTGTCTGTGTACATGTACTATGGAAACCGAATATCTTACCATACATAACAAAACACGCTCTAAAATTTTGTAAATGAAGAATTTCATTTACCGTAGTTCGTCTTCGAGTCAGGTCTCTTAAAATCTGCTGCAGAAGAAGAGATTTCGATCGGTAGCATATTGCTTTTTTGTTCTAAGTCTGTTTGATCTAGTTGACACAACTTATATGGGTCTAGAGCACTTCATTCGAATTCTAAAGAGATATGCGGGTATCCTGTTATATTTGTGTAATAAATTAATTACAATTAATTATCAGTTTATTATGGGCATAATAGGGAAGTTTAATTCCACCAACTGGTAAAAAGATTCAATAGTGTAGGAAGCATCATTTTATATAGTGATGCCCGATGTATTAAATGCTAGAAATAATACAAATCTTTAATGAACAGTTCAAAATAGTCAGTTAAAAAATGTTAATAACTAAACTGAAATTCATGAGTCAAGATATAAGGTACTTCTCCCCGCCTTCTTAGCGGGCCTTCGTGATGCTCTGCATGCTCGGCGCGTCCAGACGTCCCAGACGTCCGTGGTTCGATTCCCGGCGAGAGCGTTGCTCATTTTTCACATCTCCTGCTTCCATTCGAAATAACCTAATTTCGCTATAATGGCGCTCGAACTAAAGGGGGGGGTGAATGATGATTCTCCACACCCAGGATTTGGCGACTGGGTCCCCTAAACCCCAGTCGCCCTTTAAAAGGGGACGTATATAAGGTATTCTCCCGCCTTCTTAGCGTGCCTTTGTGGTGTAGCGGTCTGCACGCTGGGCGCGTATTCCAGAATTCCGTGGTTCGATTCCCGGCGAAGGCGTTGCTCATTTTTCACATTTCCTGCTTTCATTTCAAATAACCTAATGTTTCTAAAAAGACATTAAATATTATTCTTATATACAATACTCGAAACTAAATAATTGTTATAAAACAAGTAGTCATATCTGAAAGGGAAACATTAAAATAATTGTGGTACAATACCAAATGTTCGAAATTCGAAACGTATAATAGTATAGAAAGAGAAAATTACCCTGAAAATTAGAATAAAGTATAATTTTAAGTGTTTATGCTTTAAAGTTTTAGAAGCGAATTTGTAATATTCTTGTCTATATTAAAAAACAGCAAATGGAGCAAAGACATAACTATGCTGCCGAGAAGAAATATTAAAAAGAGCCTCGAGTTACATATTCAAAATTTTACATGGTTAATTCTTTCAGAGGCATTGACATATTAATTATGTTTTAATAGTTCTTCTTCTTCTAAATACTTCTACTTTTTATACATGATATTTATGAGTTTGGACATAAGCCTTTTAATGAAAATGCATGCTCAAAATTTGAATATTTTTAATGAAGTTGTGCTTAGTATATAAAGAGAAATTTTTTCTCGGTTCAAGGCAAAAGCTTCAGTGCAGTTGTTCACGAACATCCGTGAATTTCGCAAACGCAACAGCTGTTCTCTACTTTTTTTTTTCCCTCATGAACTTTCGCTTCTTAAATTATATTTAAAAAAATTATTATTTATGCACAAACAGAGCAATGATTATAAGCTTGAAAATGAATCCAGCATGTATAAGATCAAATTTGTGTGCAATCTGAAGGACACTAATTACTGAAAGAATAGATATTATATGGTCAGCGAATGCGTAAAATAATGCTCCTTGTAAAGCACAAAGCATATAAATAAATGTGATATTGGCTTTCCCTGCATAGCACAGATTTGATATGCCCTTTGTTCCAGATGTTTCGTATAGGTATATAAATTGTATTAACTATATGATAATTCAGATGGTGAAATGAATTTACGTTAGTTAAAAAAATTTTATATAACGTTCAGTCTAAATCGCATTAAATTATGTTACAATACCACAAACTTACAATTTTCATAGCTCATAATAAAATAAAAATATCGGTAGAATTCATTTTAATACTTTTGATTGTCACAAATCGATAAGTTATTTTTTTTAACATCGAATATGTTGGTGCATATGACATACAGCATAGTACTACTGCTTTACCCATAAATCCAGAAATTGTGCCCTAAGGCGCTGGCAGTAACTTTAAGAATGCAAACTTGAAACGCTTCGCTAGTGAGTCGAAATCCAGTTCCTGTACCTATTAAATACTAATTCTTTGTCTTGAATGTCAAATAAAATAAGCTGTTCGAGTCAGGCATCCGTCGTAAGGTAAACATGAGATTGTAGCGAATAATGATGGAGATTCTGATTCTCCGTCACCTGTGACGTGAGTGGTCACCCACCCAAGTTCAGACACTGACAACTGCTTCTTGAAGATGTAGAATTCACAGATGACAGTACTTAAGGTTCAGATTTTCAGAGTCAGAGACGTAGCTAGGGTTTCAGCGCCCGAGGACAACTGAAGATTTCGCGCCCACTCCTGTTTGCCAAGAATGGAAAACATTTAATTCTAAAATTTCATAACAGCAATTTTGCGCCTATGAACAAATGTCCCTCTTGCCCCCTCTAGTTGCGCCAGTCTTCAGAATCCCTTGAAAATTCAGACAAGGTTTGTAAGCATGTTTGTAGATTTTAGTATACTACACAATTAAGAATATGAGGGCAACTGAATTGCAGTTTTGATGAATTTGCAGTAGCGACATTTGGAAATTACTAATTGGTCCGTGACTCTCACGTGTATTGCCACCCATCTGAATCAAGGTTCATTAATACATTCCACCTAAGTACAGACCACGACTTGAACATTTTTCACAGTTTATGTATTCTTATGTTAATTGCGCAAGTTTACGTTTTGCACACTAAATTTCACTAATACAAAGAATAATAAAGGAACGAAGTCTCTAGGCTTTTGCCATTTGAGTGATAATAAACAACATAGTATTATGTAATACAAAATTAATTTTTGATTACTTCTAGTTTTTGTATATAGAGAAGTTCATATCACGTGGTTGCATCACACTGCAGCTCGTATTTCACGCAGGCCTCGTAAATGCTAAACAGATCCACTGATTGCAGAATAGATGCAGCAATTCTAATATCTTCCCCTCAATGACGACTTATTAAAAATGAATGGACGTTAACTGTAGTTTAAAAAAAAATTTTGAAAGTCAGATATTTAAAATCCTTCGGATAAATTCAAATTGTAGGCAATTTTTATGACACTTTACATGTTGGATTATCAACTAATGTAGTCGTAGTTAAATAATAAACATACAAGTATCTTATATTAGTACAGATTATAATATACAGTGTGCAGATTGGCTTTTATCATGATATATTATAATCTCTGCGAATACACAAGGTGATCATAAAAAAATCCCTGATATATGAACCTCTAGCGGCCTAACCGCTCAACCAATCGAAATGAAATTTCAAATATTTATTATTTGACGGTATGCGCTCGAGATTGTGATAATGAAAACAGTAGAGATCTCATGGTGAAAAAGTTCAGTGAAAAATTTCGAAATTTTTGAATGGCAACGCCCACTTGTTTCCTGCTTGACTTTATCAACAGAATGAAAAACCATAAATGACATTAGAACGATACATGTATGACAAAAATTGTAAACAGAATTCATTTGAAAATAACATCATTATAAAGGACTAATGAAAGCAACAGGAAAGAAGGGGGGAAATTTTATTGCAATTACAAGTTTCAACGTGCCCATCTTCGCAGACGATTACGCCTAGCATGCGGGAAATTGTAGACTGCACTGACGAACGTTAACATCACATAGGAATCTGTGTAACTTCACGTTTTATGGAATCTTTCATTTCTGATAAATCTAGTCGATCTGATGTGTATACCTTAGATTTCCAATAACCCCAGAACCAGAAAACAGTCCGAGTAAGGTCGGGGAATCACGGTGGCCACAAAACTGCAAAATGACGGGAGATGACTCTGTTGCCAAAGTGCCGTTGTACCACTTTGGCGACGTGAGGAGGAGCACCATCTTGCATCCATACAACGTCATTAACGACATTTCGCTGCTGCAGCCCTGGAATAACGAAATTCTGCAATATTGTTGTATATCGAGCACTTGCGATGGAGCACGTTTTAATACCTATGTACGGGACGTGGCATCTTCGAAGAATTACAGACCGAGTACGAAGATGGATGCTAGCTTATATGTTTGCTTTTCATATACATAAATATCATTTGATGAATCACAGTAGAAGTTTTCATATAGTTATGCTGTGATTATGCATTATAAATTTCAAATAGGTAATATACGAACAAATTTTCTCTTTTATTTATTGATAATATTATAATGTGTCATGATAAATAACGGACATGATTATCAGTTATCAATTATTAAATCTTTCCTAGCACTCATTATTATCAAATAAGACCGTTTGCCGTAAATAACAAAAAAGAGAGCAAACGTTCATATTTCATATCTTGACGTAAGAAACGACCTTTGGGACAAATCTAAACACCAAAAGTGAAATTCTGTTCTCTTCCTGAAAGAGCGCCCTTTGAAAATTTGTAAAAGGACTTGAATCGTGTTCGAACAACTGAAAGCCTAGAATTATTAAATAACTTAATTAATTACGCATCAATATGCTCCTAATCTCCTTTATATATGTTAAATATTAAATTTATATTTTATAAAGAAATGTTCATTTCTTTAAAAATAAATTTTCAGTATTAAATTTATAAAGAAATATTATTTCCATTCATAAAAACTGGTTATAAAAGCTTTATGATAATACAGATTACTTTATAGATACTATGTAAAATACCATGTATATTAAAAATCTGCAGGCTAACCTTGAATATCATATCATTCAATTTTTCAGTATATAACAGGCATCTAATATGAATCAAATATATTTCATAAAGCCAACTCATTATCTTCATTCATTTGTTCTATGCATCTCATAAAACTTATGGGTACCGTATAGAAACATATAGATAAATTAAATCCTATCGTAACGAATCTTTCTCCTTATGTTTCAGCTGGGGTACGTTTGCCTTATAACCATCGGCAGAAAGCCCATGATAATGGAACGTTGGAAGTTTATCATGTTGAAAGAGCTACAGATCAAGGTCCATACGTTTGTGTGGCTACAAACAGAGCTGGGCAAACAGCACAAAGCACAGTAGTGGTAAAGGTTCAAGGTAGTTATTATGAATAATTTTTTGTAATTGTTTAGATTTTTTGTCTACCTTCTTTCTTTCATATGTGCACATATGTATAGCCTAGTATAATTTATTAATAAAAAGTGAAAGTTTCTTACGGAATAAATTTTGGAACTAGTAGTTCTGTATTTCATTATTAATTGTTTCAAAATCACAGAAATTTCTGTGACCAGAAATTCATTCCAAATACCAGAATGTTACTTATATGGATTTTGTTGATTGCTTTACGCAACTGACATGTAAACTGCAAACCAGTAAACTACCCTATAAGGTATTTACCCTATATGGTATTAACCAGTTATTTTATACTACGAATCATTACTGTCACTTTTGGCTTTCCGTAGGACTACATCCTACTAAAATGCAAATTTTAGCTCGCCTTTATTTAACTGAAAGTTTGAGATTGTTTTAGTCAAAGCGTGTTCCGCCTGCTGAAGGTCACGTTACTATTTGATATTCTACCATTGTACGGCGTTGCTTTATTCTTGCAGATTGTGCTATCATGCCGATGTAGGTCAATGCCAACTCGGGCGTTTAAATATCTCTGGGTAGCCTTCGACTAATAAGGCTTAGATTTCGTTTTAATTTAAAATTCTACTTTTTGATTTCATGCCAAGATTGCTCGCTGGCTTTGTGAGCACCAAGAGTGCCTTATGTTCAACTTTTTTAGAGTTCCTAATAAACCGGTTTTTTATACCCTTAATACGTATCTATTGCTTATCTAGATATAGCGATGAGTCCCTTACACGTCTATTGGAGAAGTTGCCACAAGTGACATTTAGTTACAGTGATGTTTCCTACAACCTTTTACCAAAAAACTGTTTAAGATGTAGAATGCAAACGGCTTCCGTTTAAACTGAAAATACAAGAAGAATGCGCGTTAATCCTACGAATTAAAAGAAGTCCGTACAAAACAAATTCTGAGCACTTATTATTGCTTTGGTTATTCGGTTTTGCCTGATGGAAAATGAAACATCCTGAAAAAGAGAAGGGAGAATCATTGGAATGCCACATCGGTGTAAAAATCGTGTGCTTTGCGAGTTGTGAGCAAGATTTGAATTAGGAATAACATTAAGAGGATGAACAAAGTAGTATCAGCAGCTTACTACATTTGAATGGGGCCATATAATAGGGCTGAATAACCCCTAGGTGGTATGTAAGAGATTGTTGGACCAAACGGGATACGTACCATCCCAGCAGGCAAATTTAATAAAGAATTTTCAAAAGGTTATATATAGATATCTAATAATTTCGGTTTAACATTAAATTTATGCCTGCTGCACTTGTGTACTACGAATCACTAATAAATATTACAGTAATTAAATTTAACATTAGTTTCAAAAAAGATATAAGATACAGTTTTTACAATTCTATTACTTGCAACGCAATTGCATAAGTTCTGGGGTCGGTGATTTTAGATTTGTATATGTAAACTGAAACGATTTTATATGGACAGTGCTATTTTCAGTGCATGAAATTGAAACTGCTGCATAATTGTACAAACTGGAGCATTTGTTAAATAATGTCCTGTTCTGAAATATGTTCTTGGTCGATGCTGGCCATTTATGCGCTGGTTTTTGGAAACGATATTTTTTGATAAGGTCACATTAAAAAACCCAATGGTAGGCCTCCCTAACGCTTCTTCAATCACTGCGGTTCTATGGCCGAATCTGTGTAGATATTATAAAAGATACATGGCCTGCGAGGTACCAAGTAGCAAGGACTGATCATTTCATCGATAACCTTTGGTATTAGCTGAATTTTCGTTTTCTTATTGTTTCTGATGGTCCATCTGTCTTGCCACTCTTACATTAATTGTCACAACGGTATCTTTCTGAGGAGAGAGGCCGACAAGGGTATTGGACATTCCACAGTCTCGGCTGCCGTGTAACCAGGGAAACTACCATCTCGTTTCCAATAATTTGCACATGTGCTGGCGCCCAGCATGGTGTGGGGCTTTGATGAATCGGAAATCTGAGAGGTAGAGTCTGGATATCACACACTAGCTGACGTCTGGAAAACAAATTCTGTATTACCTTAAAGCTGGATGCAGAATTTCTGAGTATGGACTTGATGCGGCCGGCGTTGATGGTTGATGCGGCGTTCTCGGAGCAAACATGTCTAACAGCATTTTGGAAGGCTATAAGCTCCGCTTGGTACGCGGAGTTATTTATACCCAATCTTAATTCTCATGTGCATATGAAGTTATTATTACTGCATAGGCAAAGATCGCTGCTAGTTCCGGTGTCAATTTTTGATCCATCCATGTAGATAGGAAAAAGTGGGCATAATTATGCTCAACAGGGTGCATGAGTACTTTGTTTGAAATATCAGTCCGCTTGTATTCCGACGGGGAAACGTCGTGGTTCCATAGCGTGTAGGCTGTCTCCAAACACAACACGTTGGTAATTGTTTCCTCTCTGTCTACTAATAAGCAGGCCCAAAGGGGACTTGGAAAAACCCAAAAGAAACACTTTACAGTTGGTTGCAACCGTAAACATCGCTGACGAAAACGTCGCGAAGACAACAACGCAAGGCGAAAACGTTGTGATACAAAACATCTTGGGAGAAAATAAAGCAAAGAGAAAACATCGAAGTTCTAAAACACCATGTTACAAAATGGCATGGTCGAAAATAAAACAGTTAAAAAATTTAGCAATTTAAAAACATCTTCGTCGAAAATATCGCGGTAAAAAATAAAGTACCCAGAAATCATCGCATGACGATAACATCGCACACATGCATTTTTCAAATTCCATACAGACATATTATGTAGCTGACTTTCGTTATAACTAAAAAATCGACATCTTAAAAACTAATTGCGTGCTATACACGAAAATGTTAACAACACTTTAAGCATAAACGGACACAAAACAAAATATAATTTTCACTAGAACAATATGATAAATAGGAAAGAAAATAATTTGTTGAACAACTAACAAACGTGAAAGAAAATATTTTGATAACTAAGCAATTTTTTATAGAGGTAACCTCATGCAGTTATCCTTCCTTTTTCTAAGCAGTTTTATACTGTATTTTTCATTAAAAAATTATCAGTAAAAGTTGATAAAAAGAGACTAATTTATTAATCACCTTTGTTAACTAATTATATAAACTTAAAATTCTAATAAGTCCTATAAGTTTCAATAACTTTCTACTCATTTTCAATTTTTAAATGCTTAAGTTTACTTAGCAGATTTTTTCAGCAAACATCTGCTAGTCAGTCATTCAACAATATAAAGCATAGAATTAAAAGAATCCCTCTTTCCTTCTCGCGCTTCCAAATCATTATGCGAACATGCATTTACAACTTTTAAAACCTGAAAATGCATGTGTATGGTATTATCGTCATGCTATAATTTGTAGGTGTCTTATTTTTTACCACGATATGTTTTAAAACGATGTTTTAAAACTGCGAAGTTATTGAACCGCTTTATTTTCGACGGTGATATTTTGTACCACGTTTTAGAACTGCATTCTTCTCTAGAATTCTTTCTCTGCTTTCGTTTCTCGCACGATGTTTTGTACCACAACATTTTCACCTTGCGTTGTTTCTTGCGACGTTTACTTCCGCGATGTTTTCAGCAAACACCTTACAGTTGTAGAACTTTTCACAAAAGTACTCGCACGGCTCTTATCAGTATGACAGAGCACAATCACTAATTATCACTTCAAAGTACTAAGAACGTTAAATGCAACACTATAAAGTGTCTCAAGTGCGAAGGTCGCACAATTATCTTTCAGTACCCTCAATACTCTAAGCTAAACTTTGAAATGAAATCTGGACTACAGATTAAAGCTGTTGTCGTCTCTATCTTATATAGTTGCTCTCTAGCCGTCGGGAAATTTCCAATATTTTCGGTTTCTCGAAATTGCCAGAAGATATATAAATTTACAGTTACGTATGTATTTGACTCAAATGTCTCCAAATGATCGACAAGTTTTATGATATTTCTCGCCAACGTTCGTGACAAAAATTAGTCGCCCAACCCCTAGCCAGCTAGGTGCTATCTTACTAAGCTATTTACCACAATGTAGCCTTGTAGCGTTGTTTTTCCGGCGAGGTTTCGTCTTCTAAAGCCTCTCATATTACATTTTACATGAGATACTACAATTTTACATGTAATTTCACTAAAGGTATTTACACATATAGAAAATTCGTTATATGTTACGCAGGCAAATATTTTGCTTACATTTCATTCCTCAAAACGGATTTCTTCTTGATTTTGGGATTTCATTTTCCATCACTACATTAGCAAAGGCGCATCAGATACTCTTCCAAGTCTTCAAAGCGGACGTTCTTAGCACATCTGATGAGCTGATGTTGCCTTTCTACTGAAGACTGCTATTGTTCAAGTCCCACCAAACATGTCCTCTTTTACTCTATCTTGAATGTAATGAAAAGAAAGTATTTTTAACTTGTCCAAAATTCTGTGTCGCTCAGTCTGTCTTTCAGTGAATACATATGAGATATAATTGCTTGAATGAAAGTTCGTATGTCAGCTTTCCCAGCTACTACGAACGTTTTGGGAATGTTCAATTCGCTTGCAATGAAGTACATACCATGGAAAGGCACCGAGGATCTTTTACAACCTCTAAAGATGGGAACAAACATATTGGACGAAACACATTCTATCTGACATATATATTACTAACTTCATTCCAGCCTACCCATACCATGTACAATTATGAAAAGGTAATAATTCTTAACTGCTATGTTTCTGAAAAAATTCAATAACAGTTTACAGTAGAGAAAAATGATAATTTTAATCTTCTTCCAAATTTTATAAATGATTTTTCAAATTTTATTAATGAATTTTTAAATACTATTTTTTCGTACTCTTTTCATCGTAAACTATGGTTTCCATCATAAACTACATATGTAATTAAAAGTAATTATATAGAAAGCGCTTATACATTTTTAGAACGATTTTAGAGCCTTTTAATTAATGTTTACATGTAAGGAATATTTTTTTTTAATATTCGGTCTGATTACCTTTTTTCTGGGCTATAAGTCCTCATTATGATTTTCATGATAGAAGGGCTTTTAATAAACTTTCCAAGGGTTTCGATTTCCATTCCTCATCCAGTAATTTCCAGAGTCCATAGACTAGTAAGTTTGTTCCCTGAAAGACCTCTTTTCGAGCGACCAGACGCACATTAGTCCAAAGGTGAAACATCAGGGAACGCTGAAATACGCTGAAAATATAGGGGATATGCAATACATGTATCAATCTTCATTTGTTTCAAGGAATTCATTGGTACCTGTCGAAGTATGACTTGTTGCTTTATCTTGATGTTAGATCTTCTATCTTTCTATCTTTGAAAGTCATTGGGATAAAAAATTAAATTTCTTATATAAGTATGGAACGTCAAATTTCTCTTGGTATACGTTGAGTTGATTTTAACGTATTTCCCACTCTTCTCATTTTTAATTTCCCATTGTAAGAGAATCCTGCGTCTATCATTAGCCTCTTATTGAAACTTTCTTTGCCCAAACGAGGTTTGCAGTACATTTTTCTCTTCATTTTCTATAAGAAATATACTTATTTTACTGCAGTCATCTTATTTTACTGCAAAGGTATACTGATGCTTCATCAAGGATCGCAATGTATTTCCCTTTATCACCTGCTAAATAGTTTTTATACAGGGTTCTACAAATTGTTCTTCGTTGAGCCACGTGCCACTTTAAGAGCTGGTGAACATTACAACGAATATTGGAGAACATTGGAGGATGTTCTCTTTTTGCCAGCGATTTAAATTTAGAAACATCGGAAACAGTATGGACTTTTTTTCAGGTATTCGTTTGAGATCTTCTTTCTACGCAGAAGGAGGTTTCCATTAACGGTTTTTCCTTTCCGATTAGTAATGCTACTTATTTTTCCCATAGAAATTTTAATACCATGGTGTGTTTAAAGTTTTTGAACTAAAATAGTAATATTTGTCTTCAGATAGCGCAAAAGGATATTTTTCAATTCGAAGCTTGTTTACATGCAACATTTTGAAAGAAGAATAAATTTAAAAGTAGTAGATGATATTTTGATTTCAAATAATAAGCTTTGGCAAACGTTTCATTCCAAAACATTTTTTAAATTATTCATCAAAATATTTCTAAAAATGTGTAAACACCCTCTGTATTTTAAAGATCAGTTTTGGAAGTGATCAAAAACATTTGATCATTTTCTACTTTTATAAATCAATGAGGTAATGAAGTTATAAATGCTAACGTAACTAGCGAATATTAGAGTGATATGATAGCAAAGCTCTATCCACGCCTTTAAGACAAATATTTAAAATTTTTGTGTGTTTAGCTTTAAATTTCAATTAAATACTTCTTTCTTTTCGCAATAAATCACTAAAATACAAAATTCAGAGCAAACAAAAACGTCTCCTATCACATCATCTCTCTAGTTACAATCAATCTAATCACAGCTCTCGAGGTAAAAACTACTAACAAAAAATGTATAAAAGGACAGGAACACTATTATGAATAGGAATCCGCACAAAGAATGATCTGCACCAGCTGACAATAATATTTATATTTCATTTTCTATTAAAATATACGCTCAACAAAGAATATATTCAACTGTCCATCAAAGATTTTCTTTAACGAAATCATTCTTTGTAACAGTATTGGCAATTCTTTCATATGTTTTTATTACATGTGCTACTCTCTATAACGCAAGTTACAAATATTGCGTAGATAATATTGCTTTTTGAAAAGAAATCGATATTTGTAGTTTTTTATGAAGAAAACATGTAGAAACATACAGAAGACACAAAAAGAATAAAAAAAAACATAAAAGAGATTCTCTTTCTGGATTTTCAAAATTAAATATAAGAAAGTTTCGTTTTAACTAAGAAATACGTTGGGCAAGTGCGTTAAACTTTGCTTGTACTTTTCAGTAAACTTGAAAACCAATACCAGTCCGCGACTCACTATCCTGTGCTGAAGTTTGTGCGAATAATGCAGTTAGTTTTTTAAATACGAAGAAAAATCAATTTCTTTCATTAAATGAAGCAACAAATACATAGGTTGAAACAGAAAATGCCTGATGGTTTTAAAAATGAGATAGCAGTGTAAACGAAACGAAGTTCTTTTTATTCGTGCTGTATATAGCTTTTATTACCGTTTCAGGCGCACTTTTCTTGAAAAAATTAAAATAGAAGTCACGGCAGTATTTAGTTATAGAAAACATATCTTGCAAATATAATCCTTCTCCATCTAATACTCTATAATCTATCAGGAAAACACTGCGTATTACATTTTGCAGAATTTATCTTGGTGTGGCAACTACCTTACGTTAAAACGACGGCCTTTAATTCAGATAAGGAACCTCATTTTTCGATACAGGCTCGCGATTTTAAGATCTTAATTTATTACTCAATAACCTTCCGTATTAAATTTGCAACTATCATAAGCTTTACTGAATGGCAACACTCTGGCGTATGGAATGTAAAAGCATTTTATTTTCGTCCATGGCAACACATTGCTTTCATAAAGAAGAATTTGCTAATTAAAATTGAAATATTATACATTTTTTCCAAAGGCAAAAATTTCTTATGCTGGAGATTAAAATATGTTATTTCAAATAGCGTTCCCATCGTTGAGATTTTAATAAAAAATTCATTAAAGTTTTAAAAAATATGAAATAAATAAATACTAAAACGAATTCGAAATTCAAATTCGGTCTTCCAGGCGCAGATGTTTAGGTAGAGGACTACGTTATTCAAAATTTGATAACTGCAGGTACTGACGTTTGTTCACAATAGGAAGGACATGCAACTTCTTCATTATTTAATTTCTTTAAATATAAAACGGGACGATAATATTGGTGGCAAAAATATTAAAGTGGTACGCCTTCTAAAGTAAACCAACGCAAAATCCCATTTCGAAACTAATATTATCTTTTGTTTGGGCTTAAAAAAGGGGGAATTTATCAGTCATTGCACCTCTTCCTTCCAAAAGACGTACTGTGGGCCGCTACCGGCATTACAATATGTAGATGGTGATGTGTTCATTAATATGTGCTCAAAATACGGCAACTCTTAGACATATTCGCATAGTCTTGAAAGCTTATTTTAATTTACAGAATGACTTCATGAAATTTAATGGCTTAATTTTATAATATCCTACATACACTTGCAGGCAAATGCTGTAGAGACCTTTTTATTACTCAATCGCTATATTAAGTATTTTTAATCAGTAAGAATTAATTTTTTTATTTCTTCAATTTTGCTAATGATTTTTGCGAAACGTTGACCATTTGTGGAAACTTTTAGGCATATTTAATGCTTCAACCTGGAGCGTACCGTAATGCAACTAATGCTTAGCATTTTAGTCTAAAATTAAAATTTTATAGTAACTGGTCATAGACTTAATTTCTTGTTTTTCATAATGTCAATAAAAGTAAAATACTTTATTTACAGTTGCACGGTACTTGCATTGTCATCCCTTAATCATGTATGCATATGAGTAAATTTTATATTTTTGTTATGACTTTATGTACATTTATTCAAACAACTATAATAAATTTATTCCTACAGTGAAACCGGTGATAGAACCTTTCAGCTTCCCAAAGTCTCTACGAGAAGGTCAGAGAGCGTCAGTTCTGTGCACGGTCAGCAGTGGTGATTTGCCATTTAAGATTCGGTGGTTCAAAGATGGGAGACCCATACCGGACAATATTGGCGTCCGTTCCAATGAAGTTGCAGATTATTCCTCAACTCTTCTCTTTGAATCTTTAGCCCTGCACCATCGAGGCAACTACACGTGCGTGGCTGAGAACGATGCGGGAACCGTCAGCCATACCGCTACAATGGTAATTCACGGTATGGGTTCTGAGATGATGCGGGAATGCATGTCTCGTATGCTATATCATACTATTTAATTTTATTAAACTGACATGGGTTGTGTTTTTTGTTCTTTGCATTTTTTATTTCTTAGGGAATATACATCGTTTGAATTTCTTCGCTTGATTTTAAATTAATTCAAAGAAAAAATTCGCTTTATAATTTTATAAAATCATGGGTTAAACTTAAACGTTTTTTTTTAACATTATTTTTTATAAAATTACAAAGATAAAAGTAAGCTATAATGTTGTTTTTAAAATTTGTTTCAAAATAAATAATAAAGAACTTTTTTTCTTATACATTTATTTAATAAAATTAAAATTGCGTATTTTAAAAGGAGTTTTTTTTTTAAAATTCTTCGTTAAGTACTTATAGCAGTTTTTTTACATGGACTGAAAAAAGCCAAAGGTTAGAAAAACTATTTCGCTTAGCTAAAATATCTTTTTGTAAAATATCACCTTTAAAACATTCTATAATTTTAAAAAAATAACTGAAAACGAATTTAAAAAATCTTGTTTGTAAAATTTCCACCTTATTATAAACATCTTAAAGGGTAGAAACATTTAAACAAAATCGGAATTATTTATAAATTTTATTGGGGAGTTGAATTAATTTGAAAAACTAACTGGAATTTGTTAATTTCTTTTGCTTCGTTTTGGAACTGAAAAATGATTTTCTACTGCACTATAAATAAATTGAAATAGCATCACTTGTGTGTTAATTTTGGGCACATTCTTAATAATAATATATATAATTTTAAAAAATTATTTCTCATTTATTCTCGGTTTGTTCCTTCCGTCAGATGATAAATCGGTTTCAAAGAGTGTAGTTTGAATCTGAATGCAATGAAACCTGCTCTTAGCACACATTCACGAGACAGCATTTTTATTTGTTATCAGCGGGTGTTAAAAAATGAGAGTTTGGCCTCATATTTCCAGGGTCTGGAAATTCGGTAAGTGTTCTCTAAAGGGGAACACCAGCTAAAATGATATGCTCCTTAAAGCAGGTTCAATGATATTACGTTTTAATTGTATATCAGGAACTCATAAATTTCATGGCTCAGCTTCTCTCATTTATCACAGAAATTATTCACGTTTTGTTCAACAAGTTGCCTTTCTAGCAAAGCACATATGCGTAAGATGTATACTGTTATTTTTTTTGTAATATACAGAAATAAATATAGCAATAATATATTATATGTGTTAATAACACATATTAGTACAATATATAATAATCGTAATATAATAGATGTAATGCCAAGAGCAGTGTCGCAAAACATCCGCATCTATCGTCAAGCAGGAAATCAGCGATACGTAGTATGCAAAAATCTAAACTAAAGATCAGTCATATTATTGAGTGGTAACTTGAAGAGGAATAACTAAAGAATGGGGAATACTTTTTATCTTAGAATAAGTGCATATTTGATACACAGGAAATGAACAGTGAAACTAAAATTTTTGATAACATAGCACTCCAAATTTGAAGTCTTCACTTCTGATTGGGAATGATGGATATTTATTGCTCTTACAATAATAGCATGTATTTTGATATATCGAGGGTTATGGTATCCAAGGTCATGTCTGCACACCAAGAAAAATAAAGATCTTCGTCCTGTTGGAGTGACTGCAGAAGAAAAAGTAAGGTTTCTACAAGCAATGATACAGTCTTAAGGAAAATTAAAATAACGTTTTGAATCAATTATAAAGCTAGAAATCACAAATGGTTGAAAATTATTTGTAATTGAAATTTTTCGGATGTATCACGTATCTGAAAAATTAGGAATAACGACTAGTTAAATAATGGTAGATTTCACTATTCTCCTGAATCCGACTATTTCTACTAGAAATCTTGCTGGAACTAATAATCATGGCTGTGGAAAGCTGCAACACAATCTTTCATATTCAGCGATTAAGATAAAAATTGGTTTCAGTGTTATTAGGAACGCAAAGCTTGGATATGACGCAGTGCAAATGTGTCTTCTTATGAAATTAGTCATCTTTTAGTTCTTTTTCCGACATCTGGGAGAATTTATGTACGGAGATCTTTTTTCGAAGTGTATTTATGTCAAGATTGAAGCACTGGATGTGGAATGTTGCAGCTTGGGCTCCAATGTTAAGGATGCATCTAGAAATACAAATAATTAATATATCTTCACATCACTATCAGAATGTTTCGAAGTATTGTAAGGAGCCAAGTATTGTAAGGACACATTTTCGAAGTATTGTAAGGACACATTTGGTCAAATATTGTATCTGAAAGGAGATATTATGTATAAGAGTGACAATTCACCTATTTACACAGCAATCTGGAGACAGACTTCTTTGAAAGATCATGAATATGAACTCGAATATTTTCCATGTTCTGTACGTGGGGATCATTGAACCTGTTTGAGGTGAGCTAGAGTTGAGATAAAAAGCATTTCTCTTTCATCATCTGAAAGTAAAATAGCCCCTTTTTTGCAAGAAGAATGGCTTAAAATATCTTTCTTAATTGTGTAAGGCGTTTATTGGTCATTTCCAAAAAGACATTCTGTAGTAACAAATTCTGGAGGTTTGGAACATTTTAATAAATGTTGCTATCCATATTTTTATGTTTTAGAGTCATTATTCAGTCTATAAAAATACATGTAAAATCGTATTCGTGATTAATTTGCAATATTTATGCAGATTATAAAGTAACTAAATACAATTAGGTACATCAGAATGACTGCTCCTTGGTGTAAACTACAAATGTAATGTTATGTATTTAAAAGGTCGCCCTTTCTTTACACTAAATGTTTAGCAGTATTAGGGCATGATACTATCCGAGGTAATGATTTTGAAACAATTTTTATGATTAATTATTGAGCAGCGACATACGATAAGCACTTTGTTTGGAATCCACGATATTGCTATATTTCTGTATCATGTCTTCTCTCATGCACTGGTAAAATTCTAAGATTTAAGTATATTTTTGAGAAATTGGTTTCGGATTACATACATGTGCGATCTATTCGTACATAAATGTGATATTTTCCTCAACTAATTTTCACATTTACAAATGCATAAGAAAATGTTTTAAATACATAATCACGTAAAAAATAAATGTATTTATTATGGAGATTATTATAAAGAAAGAGAAAAATATACTTGTTTTTATGAATTTCTTCCTAATTTTTGTTAGTTTACGAAGCAGCTGCTCTTATTGTACTGAAAACATGAGATAAAAGTGTAATGATTTTACCCAAAATTTTATTTTTATAAGAGAAGGTATATCTTGGATAGATATGATGAAAAGCATTTTTTTCTTTTTACTTCTTTATACTAAGTAAAGGAAGTATTCTGATCAGGGAAAACTTTGATTATCATATTTCAACGAAAATAACCATTTTGAATAACCCTCGAATCCATTTGAATGATTTTTTGCATGAAATCTGCACATACCAACAGAATAAAGGACCATTTTTCCTTAACTATTTGAAAATGTATTTAAAATGGATTTAGAAAGGATTATTTTTCGTACGTACGTATGTATATAGCTATATATATAGCTTAACTCAAAAACGATTAGCCGTAGAACGTTGAAATTTTTGTAGATGAGACTGCTATAACATGTACTTGTGCACCTCGATTGTTTTATTTCAATCGGCCACAATATATATACACATCCACTCTCCTACCCTATTTGGTTAGCTCTGTGTTCTTATTCTTATATGTCTGTAAATTGCGCATTTTTTGCTTTAAAAGTGTTTGAAAAAAAGCTTTAAGATTGACTTTTTTTGCTTCGAAAGTGATACGTTCCGGTTAAGATTTTTATGCCTTCAGTTAATCTGCACGCAATAGTTGTAGAATTTTCAACAATTTAAAAGTGGCTGTAGGTGTAATGGAGCCACTATTTGTTTACATTTGAAAGTCTTAGAAGAACGGCGAATTAAGTCATTTAGAGCACCAACTTCAGTGTCTTTTTTCCCGGTGGAACTAAAGTTAACTTTCAGTTCTATAACCGAAAAATTGGTCTTCCTGCTGGTTGGCCGAATTGCTTGTTTTTGAGTACAAGTTCTAATTTTAACTGTAAAAATTGTATTTTTTAACTGTTTAACTGCATTTGGTGTTTTAATTTTCTCTGTATTTAAAAATTTTTTATGAAGATGTTTTGAGCATTTATGCATTTTTATCTTTCTGCGAAATGTGAACTAAACTGATTAAATGAGAGATATATCGCTAATGAAATTCGAGCAAATAAGTTTAAATAAAATGCAGCAAAAATTTACATTTTTATAGACCGTACAAGGTAGTCATGTGGTGCCCACATCAGCCTTTGTTTGTCTACGTTAATTATTTTAAAACTATTTTCATGACTTTAATAAAATAGGGACGGTAGATCATGTTTTGAGATACCTCACTTAGCTATTGTTATTAGTATTCTACCTATAAATGCCTAATAGCTTCATTTGAATGCTGAATTACAAATGGAAAGGCAAAAATGCTGCTACATTTTTTAAGATTATAAAGCTTGTATGATCTTGCTCAGACAACCCTCTCCCCATTTTCTTACGAAAGCTGTCGCAAAAAATTTTAACTTACAAAAGATTCAGTTCCTTAAAAAAAATTGTGTGTGAAAATTATACATTTGTCAGGACTGCAATGATAATATATTAATTTCATAAATCAGTGCAGTAATTAAAATGTGTCATGTTCTGATCTATTCAGATTAAGCTTTTAAATACCATTCACAAAATATTTGAGCACTTTTCGACGGGTTATCTTTATGCAAAATAATTTTGAATCAGTGGCATCGATACTAAATAATTCAAAAAATGCATCTTCACGTTTTTTTAAGTACAATAAGCGCCGCCCAGCCGGTATAGTGGTTAGTCACTAGGCGTGAGTTCGAATCCCGGAGAAGGCATGGTTGTAACAGTCCTTCCCTTCATAGGAGGCAACGATGGCCACCTATTAGGTGCTTCCATAATGAAACAGCCACCATTTTGGCCATTGTAGTAGCGCAAAGCTAACGGCTATTAAATAAGGCCACCGGCCATTTTTTTAAAAAAAGATAT